TATATATATATAGAAGCATGTTCTACAAAAATCGATATTAATCGTGTTTGATACTGCGTACTATAAAGTACAAAGTAAGCGGCTTTATAAATTTATTCTATTCGATCGATAACATACAAGTGTATATGCTGGTACGCGTATTTGACGATCAATAAAACGCTCTTTCAACTAGCTGCTTTCAATCGAGTGCTATTTTGCAAGTTGAAACGTATTAACGCAACGTAACAGAATGACGTGGAATATAAACCCTTTATTTATGATAGACAAGTTTGAATATGAAAACGATGTGCCGACACATCGAGAATATAGATACCTGTTTTTAATTCATATTCATACGCAAATTATACCTATATGTTACAATGATGGAATGTAGATAAGTGTAAAATTTATTGAAATAGTGGACCGTTTTTAATTATTAAAAAAATTTGATAAATCAATAACAAACTTTTTATTCTAGCATGTTTCTTCGGTAATCTTTTGAGTTTGTTTCTCGTTTGATTTCGAAACGATAATTAGCATAATGATCTAAAACAATATGTATTTTTAATTTTAACTTATTAACATATTTATTAATTTTCTATTAAGTTTGTGAGCAATAAATTCGAGATTAGAGTAATGAATTAACAATTATGATTAACATTTGCTTATGTGCCAAATTCAAATTTTGAAATTGAAAATCTCAGGCCAACTGATTTTTGTAAATCTATTGAGCCTCGCTAAATGATTTTAGACAATTAATATTCTTCTCCAAGTTGATTAATATACAATTATATAACGAGAAAATAGAGATAATCTATGATTCTTGTAATTTAATATCGTTATTATTTTTTCGTTCGATCAACAAGATGAGTACAGAAATTTTTTTAATCACGGGTGACAAAAAAACGCCAATCAAGAGAGTTATTCCCCGAACTTCGTATCGCGTGTTCGAGTATTCCTCGCCATCGAAATTCGAACAAACAACGACGAAAAGCATCAAGGACGCATCGTCTTCAAGGAGGCGAGACTCGCTCCTCTCACGTGCCACGTCCCTGATTCTTTTTCCTTATAATCCCGAAAATTCGATTTCGTTGCCGCCAGGTATTTTAACGAGACCGATATTCCATGACGGCGGTGTGCCGAAAGGATGGCGGGTGACGAACGACGGGGTGGAAGCGGGTATGTGTACGCGAATTCGGGACTAATCTGCCCAATTAAAAAGGACCCGGTGACCACAGCGGAGAGAAACGGCGGGTACGACAGGCACAGATTCGAGAATCCGCCGATGGTATTCGCTAATGAGTGCGATTCCTCTAGCCTTCTTCTCGGTTCTTCTCTCGCTCGGTTCTACTCTCGCCCTTCTCTTCAGACTTTTTTCTCTCGCTCTCTTTTTCGGCTACGTGTCTAGGCGGTCGCGATCATAGGGGTAAAACGGAAAACGTTAATTAAACACGCCACTTCCGAGCGCTTTGCGTAAAACAGGATCGTCGTTAATTGGACGGCTGGTTGAGACTTTCGACGAGTTATCTCGTCGTGAAGCGTGAGAATATTGCGCAGAGAGTAATTTCAACAAAACCGGCCAGGAGGATTTTCTTAAGCTCATTGCTAAAATATTTACGGGATTTATGAAACGAGTTTTTAATGACCAAAGATTGAATCCTTTACTAAGCACTACTTGTCGATCTTTTTTAAATAAAAATATAAAAATTTTGAAGCTTAACAGAAGAATCTTCTTTTATCTATTGTTAATGACAAAACTGAAAAGTTAATTTATCTAATTCGTTTAAAACTAAATATAATTAGGTAGATTAAATTATACTAAATTATACTAAGTATAATATTATATGTATATCAAATTATTTTATATAAATTTATATAAAGTAAAATATTTTTTAATTTACATTAATTTAAAGATCGATTGAATTATTGGTGGCTGTTATCCGGTTTCGACACGCGCATTAAATTAAATTTCATTAATAAAGATCGTAAAAAGATCGTATCGCGCCATTTACGAAATGAACGCATCTTATTATCGGAGATGCAAATTGTCCCAATTTTTTTAAGCAAGCGAGTTCTCCGCAATAAACATAATCATTTTCTCTCTTTCCATGGGGAATCAATCTCGTTAATAAAGAACTTGTTAATTAGAGGGCGCACACGACGGAAACGTCAAACTGTTTGAAAAAGTGTTGGATAGGTCCTCTGTCAAAGAGCATTATGTCGACGTAGTAAGTCCCGCATCGCGAGTGCTTCATTTCGTCGTTACCTTATTTTATCCTGCCGAGCACACCTGCACTGCCTCCCTTTTCCTTCTCTTCCTCCATCCATTCTGCCGGTTGAGAGGCTCTCGTTGCATCGCAAATGTATGCAGGTCGTACACGACCTAGCCTAAGAAGCGTATTTCTGGTTCCGCACATTCAACGGCTCCGAGAGATGTCGGATTATGTATCAAATGGTCGTCTTAACAAATGAGAATGCGGTGATCCGCATCGTCAGAGGGCATATCGCCAGAGTTTCTATAACTTAAGCCAACCGAAAGATCTAGGTTTCAAACAGGATTAACTATAATAGCGATTCCAACGGATTCTCATCTGAGTAATTTCTGAGTGATTATTCCAGATTTATTAATTTTAATTTGAATTTCTGCATTTTATAATATCTTTATTCTACGTTGGAATTATCGAGTGCGAAATATTAAGGCCATGGTACATCATAAAAAAATTTAAGACGTAAGACTTAAGCAGTAAGGAAATCAACATGGACTTACGATCTTTAACGTGATTGGTTAATTCGCTTACTACTTAAGTCTTACGTCTTAAATTTTTCTATTGTATATGCCATGACTTTAAGACCGATATTCGTAGTCAGATCTTATTCAAGATTGTCTTAAGTACAATCTTAAGAAGTAACGAACCAATCAGAAGGCCGTATTAGCGTCTTAAGACATTACAGATAGTCTTGAAATAAGAACGGATTATGAATACCGCCCTAAGATGTAATTGACCGATAGAATGTAAATTCCTGCGACAGTTAGCACTAGTATATTTGGACAATCGTATTGCGAATACCTCATGGTGAAATACCTGAGAGAGAATACCTGAACTGAGAATGAGGAGTTAGTTTTAAGCACTTGACGAGGCAAGATGTCTCATAATATATATTATAATTGATCATCGAAAAGTTAATCAATTCTCACATATTACTCAAAAAACAAGAAGATTCAATTAATCACAAATACAACAGTTAAATTTGGTCCTTTGAGCTGGAATCACAGGTAATAAACAATTAATTCGTATATACTGTTAGATATCAGAGGAGTAATCCTCAATCCTTTGAGTTGAACAGCATTTTGTTTTTAATTTTCATGTGTTTTAAAATGTAAATTAATTCATTTCTGTAGTTAGTTTCAAAGTAAACGTCGTTTATAATATATGTATTTAGTAAATAATAAAGTAAATTTGAGTCAAATTTAATATGTTTTCTTGAGTTACATTGTTTAACTCCATTGTTGTAGTCAAATTAACGATGTATTGGGTAGGAGCAGTAGTGATCTATAGAAATGATTAAAAATAATTCAAATTGACTATAATTTGATATTATGAATTTAATAGGGTGTATTGAACTAAAACAACGAATATCGAAGGCATATCGAACCGAATCAAACAGAATCGGAGTACAAGACTTCATCACTTTTCAAAGATACTCAAGATGAATAAAATTTACAATTTCGAGCTAACTTCGAACACTTGATCCAAGGAATTCGAGTCCAACGTTAAAGTTGACGTACGTAAACACATGAAGCTTTAGCATATCGAAAAACTAAGTATCGCTCGTGTCTATTCCTATCTTGGAATAATACAATCTCATGTTCGTTTACTAATTATAAAGTGAAATCTTTAGTTCTAATTTAGTCGCTCCCGATATTTAGGAATTTCTTCTTGTCTTATTCTAACATACCGAACATGTTTCCCATTCCTAAGAGTCTTTCGTGTACTTTCGGGCCGTGGCGGCGGTGCCTCTTTGAGACATTTGTCTGTTCGTGTTCTTTCACAT